TGGGGGCCCCCCCCCCCTCCCCACTGTGGCCCTGGCGGGGCCCCAGGGGCCCCCCTGCATGCACAACTACAGCACTTGGGGGCCCCTCAGGGGCCCCCCTTGTTCTTCTTTAGCAGTCCTGGCTCGGTCCTGCATGCGCATGCACCCCAAAGACCCCCCAGGCTTTGAAGGGGGCCCCCCAGGAGGGGGCCCCCTTCAAAGCCTGGGTAGGGGGCCCCTCCTGGGGGGCCCCCTACCCCCTGGGGGGGCCTGGGGGGCCTCCCCTGGGGGCCCCCAGGCCTCGGGGGGCCCCCAAGGGGAAGCCCTTATGGGCAGCGGCAGCTTCTTGGCGGGGCTCTGCAGCAAAGGAGGGGGGGCCCCCGTTGTGTGGGACTTGCAGCAGGAGCTGGGATGGGGGGCCCCCCATGCTGCTGCTGCTGACTGCAGAAGCAGCAGCAGCAGCAGCAGCACAGTTGCTGCTGCAGATGCTGTTGCTGCTGCCGCGCCACAGGGCCCAGAGGGTACAGAAGGCGCAGGGGCCCCCCTAACAGCACTTGCTGCTTGGGGCCCCCGGGGCTGCTTTGTGTCAGGGGACCAGTAAGTCATTTGTCTTTTGCTGCTGCAGTTGAATTTTAAATAAAAATTCATGTCTTTTTGGTTTTGCTGCGCTGCTATTTTAGCGGCTGCGTAGCCCTTTGCTGCTGCTGCTGCTGCTGCTGCTGCGGGTTCATGTGTGCTGCTGCTACTCCGGGTACTACAGCAGATGCGTGTGTGTCACTGCTACCATTGCTGCGGCAGCAGCAGCACATTCATGTGTTTAGCTGCTGCTGCTGCTGCTGCTGCTGCTGCAGATTCATGCGTCTAGCTGCTGTTGCTGCTGCTGCAGCAGATTCATGTGTCGCTGCTGTTACTGCTCTCTATGTCTTGGTCAGGCGAGGCGTGGTTCGCTTTTGGTGCTGCAGCAGCTGTAGCTCACACTGCAGCAACTGCAGCAGCAGCAGCAGCAGCAGCAGCAGCGAGAGCAGCAGCTTTCCTTCGTTGGCCGTGAGCCTCCATCCCGAAATGCCTCAGGGGCTGCGGTAAGTTTTTGCTGCTCGCGTTTTCATTTGCTGCTAGTCATTTATGTTTACTTGTGAAAGTGCTGCTGCAGCTGATACTACTACTGCTGCTGCTGCTGCTGCTGCAGCTGATACTACTACTGCTGCTGCTGCTGCTGCTGCTGCTGTGCTGCAGCGCCGGGGAGAGCGCAGTAACGGCTGCTGCTGCTGCAGGAGATGAGCTGCTGGTCACTGCTGCAGCAGATTGCTCTTTATGTCTGTTTAAAATCAAAACCAGCTGCCTTTAAAACAAAACCCTAAACCCTAATCCCTAGACGCTAAACCCTTTTATTTCAGAGGCCGAGCTTTTGCCTTCTTCAAGGAACTGCAGAAATCGAAATTTTAGGGTTTAGGGTTTAGGATTCAGGAATTAGGGTTTATGTTTTAGGGTTTTTAGGGTTTAGGATTCAGGAATTAGGGTTTAGGTTTTAGGGTTTAGCAGCATTTGCGTTGGCAGCACAAACGGGCAGCTAGCCAAATAGAAAAGCAAAAGCAGCGGCCCAGTGCTGCTGCTGCTGCTGCTGCTGCTGCTTCGGGCAACACTGCTGCTTCTGCTGCAGTTGCTTTCCGAGTTGCTGCTGCTGCTGCTGCTGCTTCAGGCTCCACTGCTGCTACAGCTGCAGTTGTTTTCTGTGTTGCTGCTGCGGCTGCACCGCCTGCTGCCGCTGACAGATGAATAACTCTTGCTGTCATTGCTGCTGCTGCATCTGCCACATTGCTGCTGCTGCATCTGCCACATTGCTGCTGCTGCATCTGCCACATTGCTGCTGCTGCATCTGCCACTTCGTGCTGCACCCATTGCTGGCAGTGTTTTCAGGCCCTATGAAGTTTCAAGAGCTTCTCTCAGTCTAAACCCTAAACCCCAAACCCTAAACCCTAATTTTGCTGGTCTCCAGAGCATAAGCTGCTGCTGCACTTCATACACAATGCATGCAATATAAACATGCGCAGAGATGTTCTTATTTATGTACCAATGCCATGAATATATATATTTAAATATATTTATATGTATTTATAATTGAATATATATAAATATACATTCATATATATATATATATATATATATATACATGTATATGTGTACATATGCTTATATGTATATACTCATATGTACATTTGGACATATATATGTCTGTATATATATATATATCTATACCTATATAAAGGCACTGGCAATGCTGGTCTGCTGCTGCTCTTTCTCCTTTTTTTATCACTTTGCAAGACTTGATTATATACATCTATATATATATATAAATCATTAATTTGTTTTTAGTTGGCAGCTGGCGTTGTCGTCTCTGTTGCACTAGAGTTGCTGCTGCGCATGCAGAGGCGTGTGAGTGGAGGGAGTCTTCCTAGGCAATATAAGTTATTGAATAAATAAACTCTAAACAAAAACTAATGAGGGAATAGAAAATTGGATTCTTTTTGGGTCCGAACTGCTTCACGACCTGTACATACACCGCAGCGCAGTGTCTGTGCACACTGCGCTGAACTCCGCCGTCTCGCCGCTCCTTCGGCTCGTTCTTTTTTCAGCATTCTTTTTGGAATTTAAATTTTGAAATAATTAAAAAAGGAAAAATAAAACGCGGAATAAACACGCGGTGAAGTCCTTTTGCACGCAACCCCCACCGTCGCTCGCCAGCGGCTGATCCGGCAACTGCATGCGGCGGCTGTGGTGTGAAGTGTTTACAGCCCGGTGAAACTGCTCGAAAGCTCTCCCTTTTTATCTTTTTTAAATTTCTTTCTCCATTTATCTCGAAATTCCACTAAAATAAAGACGCGAGCAGCGGCGACAGCAGCAACCGCAGCAGCAGCAGCAGCAGCAGCAGCCCTGGGGCCTTCCGTGCACTGCGCTTGAGGGAATTCGCACTGCTCCAAAGCAGCCAAAGACACTTCACAAGAATGTCAGAGGTGAGCCCTGCTGCTGCAGCAGCAACAGCAGCAGCAGCAGCAGCAGCTGCTGCTGCAGCAGCCCCCGCCCTCGCCCCCTTCTCCCCGCTTTGGTGCACTCGGCGCCCCGCGGGCGCCGCCGAGTGCCCGCGGGGCCGCGCGGCCTCACCCCCCACCCGCAGCAGCCCCCACAGCGCCCCTGCTGCTGCTGCTGCTGCTGCTGCTGCTGTTGCTGCTGCTGCTGCTGCTGCTGCTGCTGCAGGCTGTGGTGGTGCCCCGCTCCTTCCGGCTGCTAGACGAGCTTGAAAAGGGCCAAAAGGGACAAGTGGCTGAAGGCGTTTCCTTTGGCTTAGAAGAGGCAGACGACATAACTCTTACAAACTGGTCAGGGACCATCTTCGGGCCCCCGGGGGTACGCTGCTGCTGCTGCTGCTGCTGCTGCTGCTGCTGCTGCTGCTGCTGCTGTTGGTGGTCCTGCTGCTGTTGCTCCCGCTGCTGTTTTGTGGGGTGAAGTAGCTGCGGCTCGTGCTGCTGCTGATGATGCCTCTGGCGGGTCTGCTGGTGCTGATGCTGCTCTCCGTGAAGCGGGTCAGCTGCTGCTGCTGCTGCTGCTGCTGCTGCTGCTGGTGTTCCTTGTGGTGGGCCAGCAGCAGCAGCAGCAGCTGTTGCTGCTAGTGCAGCTGGTGGTGCACGTGTTGCTTTCCGTCAAACTGCTCTCCTGCTGCTGTTGCTGCTGCTGCTGCTGCTCCCTCGGCCTTCCTGCTGCCGTTGCTTGCCGGTGGCGCTTCCACCTTTGCTTCTCTGCTGCTGCTGCTGCTACTGCCTTTGGGTCGAAGCGGCCTCATACCACTACGTGGTTGCTGCTGCTGCTGCTGCTGCTGCAGCAGCAGCTGCAGCAGCAGCGCCGCGCTGCCGCGGCTCTCCTTACTCTTCACTATGTGTGTAAACCTAGCGTTATGAAGCAATAAAAGTGCATGAGTTTGGCTGAAGTCCCAAAGAATCTGCCCCTGTGGGGTGACCACTGGTCACTGGTCGGTGGTCCACTGGTCCACTGGGTGGTCCACTGGTCACTGCGCTGCAGACGGCCTTCGAAAACCGCATTTACTCCGTGGCGATAAACTGCGGCCCGCTTTACCCCGACGCGCCGCCCGATGTTCGTTTTCGAACCAAAATTAATATGCATGCAGTCGACTCCAACGGCACAGTGAGGCTTTTAATAATTGTTTTTAATTCTTTATTTGAATTAATTTGTTCTTTTTTGTATTTCTTTATTTGAATTAATTTGTTCTTCTTTGTAGTTCTTAATTTGGATTATTGTGTTCTTTTCGTGGTTCTTTATTTGCATTAATTTGTTCTTTGTTTAATCCCATTTGTGGACTCCAACGGCACAGTGAGGCTTTTAATGAATTAATTTATTGCTTTTTAATTCTTTATTTTGTTCAAATTAGTTCGAATTTCTTGCTTTTTATTTGCTTATTTGGTTTGAATTAATTTATTCATTTGTTCTTTGTTCACTTCAGATTCGTTAATTGCTTTCTAATTCTTTATTTGATGTAAATTAATTAATTATTCATTTGTTCTTTGTTCACTTCAGATTCGTTAATTGCTTTCTAATTCTTTATTCGATTTAAGTTATTCCGCTGTATTGTTCTTTGTTTACTTGAAATTAATTAATTGATTTGTTCATTCTTTATTTGCTTCAAATGAACTAATTGCTTTGTTCATTCTCTATTCACTTTCACTGAATTAATTACTTCATTTATTTTTTATTTACTTCAAATTAATTAGTTACTTCACTTCTTCTTTATTCAATTCAGAGCCTTTTTTGCTGCCAATGTTTTGCTGCTGTGGCGCTTGCCTCTTTCTTGCTGCTCGTTTGCTGCGCGGCTGCCGCTGCAGCAGCGCGTGCTGCAGCAGCTTCCTCAAACCCTAAACCCTAAACCCTAAACCCTAAATGAGGCCGTGTGGCGCGTCAGTAGTCAATTGAGACTCGTAATTTATGCTTAATTAACATGTTTATGTCTTTATTTAAATTCTTTTTTGTTTTATTTTGTCTCTAAAATGCATTTATATTTGCGTTTACACTCGGTTGCATGTCTGCACATTTCTGGTGTACGTACACCCGAAAGCTGCTGCATGCACTTCGAAAAAGCCCTCATAAATATATGTTTTTGGAGCTCTCGAAGCCGCGAATTCGCTGCGGATATTTAAATATATATGTAATTTAAAGATATTAAGCAAAAGGGGACTTTAAAATGTTTTTTTATTCATTTTTCATGCCTCTTCCCATTTGCATTCCTCTGAGTTGCACGGGCCGCCGCAGTGCGCCGGCGGCGGCTGCGGGCGAGCCGAAGCCTCCAGTCGGCACGAAAAGGAGCAATTTGTGAATAAAAGTGGTAAAAATGTGAAATAAATGCAAACTAAATGCAAATGGAGTTAATTGGAGCAAAATGAAAGTGAAAATGGGGGAATTTGGGGCGGAAAACGCAGCAAGTTGGCGCTTTGCGACGCCGCAGGTAGTCAAAAACAGCTTCCCGCTGCTCCGCCAGTGGCAGCGCTCCTACACCATCGATATGCTGCTGACGGCGCTGCGGCAGGAAATGGCTGCGCAGGCGAACCGCCGGCTGCCGCAGCCGCCCGAGGGGGAGTTGTACTGAAAAAGTTGAATATTTTCGCAACTTTTTCTCCTTTTTCTCGGCTTTTTTCCGCTTTTTCGGGACTTCTCGGGACCCGAATTAAGGCATTAAAGCCGCAGCAACTGCCGGCCTGCAAATCCCAGAAATAACTGCCACTAGAAGCAGCAGCGGCAGCCGCTGCACCCCGCAGGGCTGCTGCTGCAGCGCCGGCAGCACCTGCAGCGCCTGCAACGCCGGCAGCAGCTGTAGCACCTGCAGCAGCTGTAGCTGCTGCAGCGCCGGCAGCAGCTGCAGCAGCTGCAGCAGCTGCGGAGCCGGCAGCAGCTACGGCACCTGCAGCAGCTGCAGCGGCTGCACCAGCTGCAGCACCTGCTGCGGCTGCAGCAACTGCCGCGGCTGCAGCGGCTGCAGCGGCTGCAGCGGCTGCAGCGGCTGCAGCAGCTAAGACAATAGATGAGATCCCGCTGCAGCAGCTGCTGCAGCAGCGAACGCTGCAGAGCTGAGTCCCGTTCATCATAATAGTGCAATTGTTGCTAACATCTGTGGATTAAAAAATCTTCATTCTGGATGTCTTAACAAAAAGCAGCTGTAACGCAGCCCTTGCGGTGTATAGACAGCTCCCGTTAATAAGCCCTTTGATTCTCAGAGAAGAAAAACCAACAAAACAAATCTCTAAGACAACAAACAAGTCTTATTGTTTGGGGGACTGCTGCAGCAGCTGCTGCTGCAGCAAAATGCTACAGTGCGGGCTGCAGCAGCAGCAGCAACTACTGCACGAACTACAGCTAAAGCGGTTAATGAAGCAGCTAATGCAGCAGCAGCTAGTGCAGCAGCAGCTAGTGCAGCAGCCAGTGCACCAGCAGCAGCAGCCAGCGCAGCAGCAGCAGCAAGTGCAGCATCAGCAGCAGCTAGTGCTGCAGCACATTAGTTTATTCTTTTCATGCTTACTATTAGGTGAGTGCAAAGCCTCTGTGCACCTCGGGCAGGGACCAAGAGCAACAAGCAGGGTTTATTAACCCTAAATGAGGGTTTAAATTAGGGTTTACAGACCAAAATGAAAGCATCAAAAGCCCTTGTTTAGCGGCCCCAGTGCCCCGAGAGCAACTGCACTTTAGGGGCCCAGCTGGGCTTCAAAGCCGGGGGCTAGAAACCCTAAATTAGGGTTTAGCTCACGCGCCCGATTAAACGCGCCGGCGAAGAAGTGTTAACCTCACCAGTTTAAGCCTCCTCTGGCTGCAGCAGCTGCAGCAGCAAAGCTGCAGCAGCAAAGCTGCAGCAGCAAAGCTGCAGCAGCAAAGCTGCAGCAACTAAATTCGCCCCAGACTGCTTTGAGGGGCCCTAGAGGCCCCCTGGGGCCCCCAGAGGCCCTATGGTGCAAAAAAAATTCCTTAGGGTCACCTGAAGTTCCCAAGGGGTTCTTGGGGCTCCTGCGGACCCCTCAAAGGTCCAAAAGAAGCCATGAGGGCCCCCTAAAGGCCTCCAAGGGCCCCGGAGGGCCCCCGAGGGGCTTTGGGGGCCCTTGGGGGCCCCTGGGGGCCCCTGGAGGCCCCTGGAGGCCCCTGGCGCTGCTGGCGCTTTGGGCCGGTGGCGAAGCCGGGGGGCCCCGTGAGTGGCAGTAGGTGAGAAGATAAACGTGGAATAAATATTGAGAAGTTTTATTATTTAATTTAATTTAATTTTAGCGTCTGAGCTGCAGTGGAGGAGCTTAAGGGGCCTCTTAGCCCCTAGGGGCGTCAGTCTTTGCCCTGTGTGTCCACAGGCGTTTCTGGCCATTTATGCACAAAGTTGAAATTCTTTTATTTTAATTGAAAGCCAAAATGTTGTTAAATACGAACTGGCTCAGCTGCTGCAAGTTGAGGGGCCACTGAAGCGCCAGAGCCGCGTAGAGCGGCCTTAACAAACATAAAAGTGAATGGGAATTTGGACATAAAACCGGCTACCACTAGGTCCAGGTGTATGTACACTCAAATAGTCTTTAATAAACTCAGAGACGCCGTTTTGTCTTCACATATTTTTCTTTTGCAGCAGAAAGCGCTGTGCTGCTCCGTGGCTAACAGCTTCATAGAAAAGTCCCACGCATGTTGCTGTGTGCGCAGCAGCAGGCGCGGCGGCGCGTGGGCGCGTTAGGCTCTGAATTGTCTCTTTTTTAGCGAATTAAAATGCCAATTAAAACTGCCTTTTCAATTAAACCCAATTTAAGGAGAAATGCAAAGAAATGGCGGAAACGGAAAGCCGGCGAGGGCGCTTAGAGCGGCTTTCAGACAGCATCGAGAGGCCGCGGGCGTGTCGCTGGCGTTTGTCTACGGGAAAGCTTTTGATTTTTGTTCCTTTATTTGATTTTGAATTTAAAACTAAATTATAATTGATTTATAATTTTAAATTCAATGGATTCCCCGGAGAAAACGAACGCGCGGCGGCGAGCGCGTGCTAGCCTGCGACGGACCTTTGCGGTGGTCCCGCGCAGCGGCCAGGCGAAGTTCTCTATTTTCTTCTCGATTTATTTGGATAAGTTGACTTCATATTGAATTGCATTTGTTATTTTTCCTTTTTTATAATGAAGAAGTAGGAAATTTCTGCCCGAGTGTGCGTGCACGGCTGGGGAGCTGCCGCAAGCGCCGTAGCCCGAGGCAGCAGCGACAGGGTACGGCCCTGTAGCACCCGCCCGACTCCTTCTCTTCGTTTCTTTCTTGTTTTTAGCTCCTTTCTTCCAATAGTTTGAAGTTTTACTCCAAAAACCGACTTTAGTGCGCCCCCGGTGGCTTCCTGGGTTGCGGCGCTCGGCTCGGTGGTCTTCCGGCGCAGGGGGGTGTCGATACAGCGCAAGTATGTGGGAGCAGCCGCTGAGTTTGTTTATTTTAGTCAATTCATATTAATTATAATTCCTTTATTAACTCTTAAGCCGCTTCGCTTCGAAGCGCCATGATCTCCCTGGCCGCCCGCACACGGTGAATGAGTCAGCGCTGGTTAGCAGCGAAGTGGTCCTTTCTTTCGCTTTTTTTTTCTTCATTGAAGACCAGCTCAAGGTTGTCGCCTCTGCTGCAGCTTCTGGCGGTGCTGCTGCTGCCGTTGCTCCTGCTGCTGCTGCCGCTGCTGCCGCTGCTGCCGCTGCTGCCGCTGCTGCCGCTGCTGCTGCTGCTGCAGCTGCTGCAGCGGCCCGCGCTGCTGCTGCTCCGTTTATGGCCTCTCCTCACCTGCGGCTCCACACTGTCTGTTAATAGCATGAAGAACAGAATTCTAAACTTGACGCGCCACTACGCCCCGACTCTCCCGACGGTGAGGGGGCCGAGCCCAGACCAGCAGCAGCACGCAGCAGCAGCAGCAGCAGCAGAAGCCCCAGGCCCGAGTGCAGCAGCAGCAGCAGCAGCAGCAGCAGCAGGCGCGGCGCCCCTGCAGTCCCCCAACGGCGTCGACCCCAGCCGCGGCGCCGGCGCCTACCGAGACCCCGCCGCTGCAGCGGCCGCCACCTCCGCAGCAGCAGCAGCAGCAGCAGCAGCAGCAGCAGCAGCAGCAGCAGCAGGGGGCGGAGGGGGGCCCCCTGCTTCCAACATGCAGAAAGATAAAAGACTCGACACTGCTGAGGGGAGGCCCCTGGAGTCCCCCTGCCGCCCCAACTGCACAGCAGCAGATCACCACTGCCACGGGCCAGAAGAAAAGCCCCACTTCTTTTCTCTGTGCACCAAATGCGCAGCAGACGGCAAAGTACACAAACCCTAAACCCTAAACCCTAAACCCTAAACCCTAAACCCTCAGTGCTGCGCCCTGGGCGCTGGACTCTAACGCACAGTCTCTGAACCTCCCACTCGCTCAAAGTTGGCTTTTAACCAACTCCTGATCTCTGACTCGTAAACCCTAAACCCTAAACCCTACTTCCTAGTCCTTACCGCTAAACCCTAGCCCCCAAACCCGAGCCCCTGGGGCCCCCTAGAGGCCCCGAAGGGGCCCCCCTGGGGGCCCCTTCGGGGCCCTCGCCTCTAAACCCTACCCACTCATCCCCAACCCCTCCGCCTCTTCCTCAAACCCTAACCCCTCTCCCTCAAACCCCAAGCCCTAACCCCTCTCAATTCCTAAACCCTAGCATTTCTCCCCCAAACCCTAAACCCTAACCCCTCCTCCTCAAACCCTAAACCCTAACCCCTCTCCCTCAAACCCAAACCCTACCCCCTCTCCCTCCAGCCCTACACGCTAACCCCTCCCCGTAAACCCTAGCCCCATCCCTAAACCCTAGCCCCCCGCTAAACCCTACGCCCTCCACGTAAACCCCAGCCCCTCCCCGTTCGCGCCAAACCCTAGCCCCGCGCCCGAAGGCCCCCTAACCCCGAAGGGCGAAATGTTGCACAGCGAAGTCAACAAACTGTTCACCAACGCGGGGGTGTTTCCCGCGCCCTGCATAAACCCTAAACCCTAAACCCTAAACCCTAAACCCTAAACCCTAAACCCTAAACCCTAAACCCTAAACCCCCCTAAACCCTAAACCCTAAACCCTAAACCCTAAACCCTAAAACCCTAAACCCTAAACCCTAAACCCTAAACCTAAACCCTAAACCCTAAACCCTAAACCCTAAACCCTAAACCCTAAACCCTAAACCCTAAACCCCAAACCTAACCCCAAACCCTAAACCCTAAACCCCCTAAACCCTAAACCCTAAACCCTAAACCCTAAACCCTAAACCCTAAACCCTAAACCCTAAACCCTAACCCTACCCCGAAGGGCGAAATGTTGCACAGCGAAGTCAACAAACTGTTCACCAACGCGGGGGTGTTTCCCGCGCCCTGCATAAACCCTAAACCCTAAACCCTAAACCCTAAACCCTAAACCCTAAACCCTAAACCCTAAACCCTAAACCCCCCTAAACCCTAAACCCTAAACCCTAAACCCTAAACCCTAAAACCCTAAACCCTAAACCCTAAACCCTAAAAAACCCTATAATCCCAATACTGCCTCGGGCGGTTTACGTTCGCGTCCGCGTAGTACCGCGCCACGTTTGGCTGCGCTGTCTTCCAAACTGCCCCTCGTGAAGCGCCACCTGGAGGCCTTCGCAGTCACTATTCTCGCAGTGGTCTAAACCCTAAACCCTAAACCCTAAACCCTAAACCCTAAAACCCTAAACCCTAAACCCTAAACCCTAAAGAAGGGCGAAATGTTGCACAGCGAAGTCAACAAACTGTTCACCAACGCGGGGGTGTTTCCCGCGCCCTGCATAAACCCTAAACCCTAAACCCTAAACCCTAAACCCTAAACCCTAAACCCTAAACCCTAAACCCTAAACCCCCACTAAACCCTAAACCCTAAACCCTAAACCCTAAACCCTAAACCCTAAACCCTAAACCCTAAACCCTAAGCCCTAAACCCCAAACCCTAAACCCTAAACCCTAAACCCTAAACCCTAAACCCTCGTCGTGTTGCGCAGGACAAGCCCCTGCGGGAGCCCGCGAAGGGCTTCATCACTCGCAGCGAAAGCTACGTCAACGCCAGCGCGGCCTCGCGCTGGGAAGTCGACGAGCTTTGCGGCAAAGAGC